CGCGCCTCTCCCTCTCCCTCTCCCTCCAGGTCCTCGGCGGCCGGCCTCCTCTCGCCGCGGCCCCCGTCGGCTCGCCCTCGCCGCGGCCTCCGTCTCTTTCTCCCTCTCGCCTTTGAAAACTGATCTTTGGCTCTTAGTGTGAAAGTGATTTGAATTTGGCTCGGCGGCGCTCTGCGCCTGCGCCCAGCCTCTGGCATGCTGGCTCTTTCCAAGCAGCTGTTTTGGGTTTGAAATTCCAACATGGCAGAGGCTGCAGTCCGTCTTCCCTTCAAAAACTTGGAATGATTTCAAATCATAGGCACCTTCACTTAACCCGAGCTTCCATTCATCAGCAAACACATCGGATCGATGCTACGCTAACCTATCGGGTGCTCGCTCCGCGCGTTCAGGTAAGAGGAGCTTCGTAGTTTCTTTCCTACCATCTGTTTAAATTTGTTTTTGTTTTTGTTTGTTTTATTTTTTTAAAAAAAGAATATAAATAGAACCGAGACGTATAGTATAAAGCGATCTCCGAGTTGTGCCGTAAATATTAAACTTAATTTGCACGCGTTTCTATTCTGTAGCCAACCTGCTGTCTAATTTCTCTGTACAAAGTAGCCCAGAAGCGTAATGCATATTTTTGCAGCTTTAATCATTGTAACAATAGTATGGGATTAAGAGTTCGCGACGGCAAGAATCCCGTTTTCCGCTATACGGGGGTTTACTTGCTACTATCTTTTGACTTCAAAATTTAAATAAAAAAAAAAGAAAAGAAAAAGAAAGCAGAGACATAGGGTGGGGCTAGACTTTCTTCGGGAACTAACTTCTAAGTAAATAAGAAGTGTAAATAAGAATCTTGCACACACACAAAAAGTTGAGGTTAAATTACAATCTCGTGGCTGGGGGGACGTGAAAATGTCAGAAGATCGGTTGCAGAAAACTGTAAGCACATCATCCTGGAAGGGGGTACAGCGTGGTGGGCGTATTGTTGGTAAAGGAACGGGAGAGAAAGATGTATAATTTAATGGTATATACAATCCACTGATCCTATTACCGTCCTCCCCGGAGCTCTTGTTAGTTTCAATGGGAGCGAGTGAAATTGACATGGACTTGCATTCCTGGTCATGTGCTTTTTTCCCTTTCTTTCTTCTCCTGTGATCTGAGATCCCCTTTTTGTTGATGTTGCTTTCCCCCTTAATTATATGCATGTAGGTTAAATGAATACCTGACGAAAGGGCCCACGTTTCAAGGCAGTGACATTTGATAGCTGAGAGGAAAAGTGGCTTTAATGAAAAGCAACCTTTGGAATTCCTGCTTGTGAGAAATCCAATTCAGCTTTTTGTGCTGCCAGCAAGAAATGATCAGTAGCACCAGTGTTTATGGTATGTCAGTTTTGGAATTTACTTCCTTTGCATCTAAATAGAGAAGACACATTTAAAAGCATGATTGAATCGTTGAAGATTTTGCTGGGGAAACAGATGTTCATGATATATAATGGCTTTAAATAAATATATATGTATCTCTGAATGTCACAATGCTTTTTTTTGCTTTTGCAATCACTTGTTTATATTTCAGTTTTGATTAATATATTGCTTGAGTCCACTTTGATCGGTTTTAGCTGTAATCCTGAAGTTGCATGTTACTAGTAAGGCACTACATAACTGCTGAAGTCAAATGGTATGTAAATTAGTCAAACTCTGGGTGGGTTTTTCTTTGGGGCGGGGTTGGATGGAGGGAGGATAAGGAGGGAGGGGGGGGAAGCCTGCTTACTAATGAAAGTATATGAACACCCACAGGTCTGGATGCATTTTTTTTTTCTGTTAATCTATTAAAGCAGTTTGACTAGCTGCTTTCTCAATGATTGCACTTTGTGGAGTAATCAGTTCTTCTGAGTGTGGTTTTTCGGGTGAGTGTGTGAATGGGTATTTTTTTTTCAGGTTAAAATTAAAAAAAATTTTTTTTGATTGCTTAAAGTTCATGTCTTACGAACAGTAATAGTTTGTTGTGCTTTTTATTCCATGCCATTCACTTGTCCTGCCTGTCAGTGCTTTTTACTTTTAACCTGTGACAGAATTAAATAATCAGGCACTGAAATTGACTTCATTTGGAATCGCTCATTTCTCTCTCTTTACAAGGAAAAAAAAAAGGTCAGATAAATGGAGTGAGAGGGGGCTTTTCAATAGCTCTTGTGGCAGGGCAGTGTGTACACTTTGTGATATTCAATTAAGACTGAGAGGGAACACAGCAACAGAAAAAGATGTTAAAGTATTTTGCATCACTAAAGGCTGTGCCCACTTTACACTGGACTGTTGTTTCATTGATATCCCCCCACCACGGAACTCTCTCCTGAAAAGAAAGAAAGAGGGAGAGAAAAGATAGGAAAAGAAATAACAGTCAGGCCAAGCTGCCAGAGGGCTGTAGTGTGGCCACGGTCAGTGCTCTCACACCACAAACGTGAATATGAGGAAAGGGACGCAAGAGCTGCTGCGCAGCACACACTTCTGCTTGGGCTGTGGTGACCAGTGAGCTAAATACACACCGCGCTTGGAACCCGATAGGAAGGATTTGATTGAATTTTGCATTTGGAACTTGTTGACTTTGAAGTGATCAATAAGAAGACTGTTTATTTTAGATGCACATAATTTGCCCTCAGAAATGTTTTAAGGAGGAGAGAGCACAGCTTTTTTTTTTCCCCCCGGAGCTGTTGGAGCGAATGGGATTGCCAGATGGGCGATTTCCCTCTGTGATGTTAAAGCTGTAATATATATTCAGAGCAGATTGGGCTGCTGCCTGAGATGGGGAGGATATTACATTTATAAATTTTAAATCGGAGCTCGGACAATGTGCTGAGAGCAGAAATGGGATGGTTCGACTGTTCACTGTATTGATACTTAAATGTGATTTCTGGTTAGGAGTAATGATCATCATTACAATCATGTGTAAAAAACACGCTGGTTTAGGCAATCAGATAATTCCTAACATTCAGCCACAGACTGAAGTGTGTAAATTGCCCCCTCCCCCAAATCTTTGCTTACTCTAAATAATAGCCCCATAATTTATTTCCCCGTGTGTTTAAATGCCCGATGTGCAAATGAGAGGTTCACTTAAAGGAACCTTGTTATCATACACTAGAATTGGAGGGGGAGGGCAGTAGTTTCAATAAGTATTAAAAAGTAGACACTTGGGTCTCTGTATGAAGTAGCCGAGTGGCTCCTGCTTTCTCATTCTGCTGCTCTGATTATTTTTAGATTTTGTTTGTCTCAGATGTGTGGCCTGAAGGAATCAGCTAGAAGCCTCCACTGCTGGAAAGGGGCGAGTGCTCACACTCTCGCAGCTCTGCTGTTGCAAATTAAAAGTGTGTTGTGGTCAGGAAATGAAAGCTACAATGTCTCTTTTGAACAAGTCGTTTATCAAGAGAAACATCTATCAGGGACTGCCTTGTCACATTGATCCTCTAAAAGTTAGGTCCGAGGTGGACACTGCTTTGATGTGTTTGATCCTAAATTTAATACAACAGGAAAAAGAAAAGAAAGAAAAGCAAGGATATTTTGACCAGTATAGACGTATTTAAAAAAAAAAAGTTTTCAGGCACCAACAAGATCTATTTATTCAAATGGTGCTATGTGTGAATGTTTTCGGACTTAAGAGTTGAAGGGTTGAAGAGGAAATCCCAGGCTTTATAAACTGAGAGTTGTTAAAATGTGTGTATGTGTGTGTTGGTAAGCCATCCAATTACGGCTCCCTTCTCAGTTGGCAAGAAGATTTTGAAAAATGGTTTGAAAGGGAAAGTTGTTTTGAAAGAGTGCTTTAGAAGACTACACATAGTCAAGAGTTTTTCATTCATTCAGATTTTACTATTACTCTCTTCCCCTGTACCTCTGATTCGGCTGTTTGATTACTGTTTGCTTTTCCCCATTATATTTGTGACAAGTTAATGTTCATTTGGGAAAGAAACACTTTTTTTCCTATAAAAATGTTGCACACATCATCCCTATTGTTGATTAACTGCCCATGTGGGTGGTTATCAGAATAAGCTACATGGACTTCAGCTTTAAAAAAAGCAAGTAAGTATTAGGTTAAACATGCTATGGATTATTGAATACTGAAAATACTGCATGCATTATTCAAACTTTAAAATGGTATTGTTAAGAAAATGCCCCAGTTTAAAAACACAGCCTCATTGTGTGCAAGGAGTTTAAAAAGCAACCCTGCTTCACTTTTTTGAGGCAAAGATTTGAGAGAAGTGTTGCTTCTTTGAAATAGAGTTTTTGGATACTTTGCCTTATCCTACTGGTGTCTTACTTGTTATTTCATGTGGGTCTGTCAGCAAGTAGGCAGGGCAGAGCTTGGTGGGAGTTTTAGGCAGTGTAGTACTTGTTAATTAATCATGTCTAGAATGAAAGAATCATAGCAGGGTAATAAAGTCTCATTGTTATTTTCCTGGAAGAGGGTGAGACTTCTGTTTGGAAGCTGGATGTGTGAGTTGCCTTGCTTTTCTCCTCTCTGAAAGATAGTTTGTAGGGTTTATTTGGGATTATTTCAAGAGATACCTTTTAAAAAACAACAACAATATTTGCCTTTCTCTTGATTGCACTATATCAGGGAGGTTTTTAAAATTGAATCTGCTCTCTTCTGAGAGAAAATATAGGGTTTTTGTCTTTAGGCTTCTGTAGCTGAGTTTTCAGTGCTGTCCTCCATCCCCCCATCAACAGAAAATCTTTTTAAAAAATTAATTCATTTTAGGTAGGGACTTTAAAACTATTGGCACGTACTTCTAGTAGACTACTCCAGAGCAGAAACTGTCATTAATTACTTTTAGCTAATACGAGAGTATGACCAGAGGGGAGAAAAAGAGAGTAGCTCCAAGAATATATAGACAATGCAAAATATTGGTTGGCATTTCTAAGGGAGTTTAGAATACTAGCTGCTTCAGAAGACAAATGAATAACATTATTGCAGGTAATTTTTTTTTTTTTTTTTTGCTTGAGCATCAGGTTGCCACCTTTGAGGATTCAATATCTTGGTTAGTTTATGCAAGAGGATAAGCCATGAAAGTTTGAGTGGCTGTGGCATTTTGCGGAATTTTCAGCTCAAGGTGAAGACAGAGTATGCGAATGCCTGCCTGTTTTTGTCTGTGTGAGTGTTTGCCTGCCTTCAATGATTGCCTAATTAAGTAATCAGTTTTAATGGTCCTAAATCAGCAGAATTGTTAGGTGTATTTGAAACAATTGTGGGCTTTTATGTTTTGAACTTTCTGCTTTGCTCTTAGAGCCTTGGCGTAATGGAAATGTTTGGTGTTTTGCCTTTGATCTGTATATTCTTAAGTACAAATTTTGCCTACAACTTATACAAAGTACCTCATTTACTGCAGGGTTAATATATTTTTGACCAGGATTTTAAATTGATTCATACATTTTTGATTGGGAAGAATTGTTCTGCAGACATTTCTGTGAAATATTGACATGTGCTACTGATCAATACGACTTGATTAATCAGCATATCTGCTTTTTTTTCCTTAAGTCACTGATAAACCAGAATAAGCAAGTGAACAGAAAGCAGTGCATTTTTCTTCCATTAAAACACACACACACACACACACACCACCCCCCACCCCCTACTACCTATATATACATTTCTCTTTCTTCTGGCATATATAAGAACTAATGTTTTATTAAAAGCAGTTGGATTTATGATTTTTTTGGTAATCACTTGGAAAATTGCAAGTCTGAAAATTTCCCACGTTTCAGTTAACAGAGACACATATACATGCATGCACATGCACATACACGAATAATAGCTAATTTCTTGTCTATTAAAAAGGGAAGACTTTTTAAAAAGTCTGTATGTAAGTACCTATTTGACAAGTGCTTTAGATAGTTTGATTTTTTTGAGTGTGTACCTTTTATCTAAATCTGAATTTTATCATTCATTTTTTTTCATTTAATTTGTAGTAGAAATTCCCAGCGTAAGTATCAACTGCTTTGACATGATTATTAATGACTGCCCCTTTTGCTGTTTGCAATGTTAAGAGCTTCAGTGGCAATTGTACTTGTGGGATGCGTCTTCAAGGAAATGCGATTGTAGAAATAAGGGGTAGATAGAAATGTGGCCAGAATACAATTGTCCTAGTGACTTGGAGGGAAGCCCTCCGCAGGTGGGTGTGCTCTGTTTCATAGGCAGCACTGCGGATGCTTGTTTGGGACTCTGCCTTCGTGTAGCACATTCTGTCGGGTACCTGTTGGCGATGGTAGTCTTAGTTAGAAGACGGATGAGGCAAACGAGAGTGCTGATCGGAAACCACCCAAACACAAGCTATCATACGGAACTTCTTGTTAGTAATGTTTACATGTTTTATGCTACAAATCTGCTTGTTGTCTTGTTG